ATTCGTAAATTTGTGATATGATAGCTTGATGGCATTATAGAAGCGTATTCTTAGGCATCAAGGAATGCTTCCAGATGATCTTCATATTCTTCAATTTCCTGAAGAGGTTTTGATGGTAGTTCTGTATCGAGCCGTTAGAGCGGGATTGACAGGCGAAAAGAATGATCATCAGAAGTATTGGTCGGTTGGTGATGGGTGTGGGCTTGTAACAGATTGGGGAGTCATATAAAGCTCAATACTCAATAAAAAAAACCACAATATTCATCGAATACAGCTAACTACAGTATATGTTCATCGGATTAATTTATATACAGTAGTGTTCTAGTGTTATATACACCAGTAGTGTTATATACACCTGCATGAATTGGGGTGCCTTCGTGTGGCGGACGTGCGTTCAGAACGGATAAAATATGACATGCACGAAATGGCGTTCACCTTCGCCTACGCGCAGGAATCGTGAAATCCGAATAGGGCATGGGCAAGCGCGGTAACGAATGTATCTTTTTTTTTCTGTTCGTAGTGCAGCGATTGTTCGGTTTTACTAAAAAATATATATCCAGAGGATGTGGGGGGTATGTATAATGGTCATTTACCTGTAAATTCAGTTCTGCATTTCTTTCAAGTGCTCATTATCACGAGTAAATGGACGTCGGTGGTTTTGGCTTATTTTACGTAGATTCGAAAAATTGACTTTTTCAGGAGTCAAGAAGAGAGGACGATGGAGTTCCCATTGATACTTTTCCACGGAAGTACAGTATTCAGAATTAAGTGAAATCATTCGAGGGAGATCGTAACGAGTGAAGTTTCTGACTCATGCATCGAGTGAGTCACCAACTCGCTCGTCGTCTCTTCGTTTTCGCCACTTGTTGTCATACGTTATGAAGGTACCTCTGTGTCCGCACGCTGAGGTAGAAGAGCTCGGAAAATAATGGTTACAGTACTGTGAACTCGTCCTCCATAATGCTGCCTTGCAATGTTCAGCATGCAAGCCGAAAAATTAGCCTGATTTTACGCAAACGCTCACAGCGCTGCTCATCTTATTAGCGACACTTGTCTTTATTGTCGGATAACGGTTAGATAAATGCCGCATCCGATGGCAGATTCTCGCGCCTGAAGCAATGAACATGTGATGAACGTGAAATGATGAAAACATAAAGTGATGAAGTCCGTTTCTTGCTGGCTAACAAAATTCAAAAAATCATGCATCACACTCTGATTCTAGGATTCCAAGTGGTTAGCAATGATCCAGGTACTGGAATATATATCCTCTTCGCGGGAATCTGTATGATACAACGATGCGTTGGCAAATCGTTCAAATTTGTCCTGTGTGCAGCTCGTTGGTCGCCACCGACGTTGTCTAGCCCGTTATATTGCATTTTTATTGGAAGAGCAACTGTCAATAATACTGTATTTCCCGCATTATTTGTCGCCGTTCAGAAAACTATTGTATATGGAGAAGAGAAAAACGAAAAGAGGCGAAGCAAGGAACGAAATCTTCGTCATCGGACACCAACGCCGGTAGACCTGTATATACTGACTTTAGCTTCGAGAATTCATTCCGTAAATCTGTCAAGTGGGATATTTTACAGTGACGTCCACAGTTCGGATTGTCTATACCTGCTAAGTAAGTGAAAAACAAAGCTCTTATTGCGAAGTCGAATGCACAGGATTTTTTCGATGACCACCCGAATTTATCCATTCTGCCCGTAGGAATAAGAGACCGTTGAAAACTGTAAATAAATAGAGTATTTGACTTCTGAAAATTCACAGAAGCTAATGTCAGGGCTACTTATTTATGCATTCCACATTATGCATCCTCACTTGCTCATCAGTCCTCGGTGGGATTCAAAATGGATTCATTCCGGATTATTCCTGAGGAGCTTTATTCACGTGTTTCTGGAATCCTGGAGGTCGGAGTTGAAATGTTCTGCCTACGGAAAAAGAATCCCCGTGGTTATGGGTCGCCAAATTTAATTTCGTTTTATGTGGTGTCCCATACTGTATACAGATAGTGTGTAGTGCTTCAGTACTATTGTGTACGCACGTGTGGTGCGTGAGAAGACTTGAAAGAACATCTTGATATGAGAAACCCGTGTGATAGAACTTGTGCGAGTCATTTAAAATACCTTCAACAAAATTCAACTCCTGCATGGAATTCTTTGAGAAATATGAAGAATTGAGAAAGTTTCCGCAATTTTGAAAGAAAGTTTATATTCCATTTTTCTATCTCCATGAAATTCTCGAATGCAATTCACAGCACCTGCGCCTGTTCCACTTCTTGCCTTTTTCATTCTCGGATGTTTACTGTGTATAGTTTTGCAGATTTTTTTTGCGCGTAGAAAAATAACGAAATGCCACAAAGGAAGCAACCGATGGCTTTAGAAGACATGGCGAGATCACGCATAGCTTTTTGGCTTAGCTCAAGGAAGGACCCAGAAACTACAGTTGTGTCCCGGAGTATGGAGGTGAGAGAAGTTCAAGAATTGTTGTTTTGGTGCTGTTTGAGGATAACTTGATGATTATTCGTCCATAGGATAGAGCGATGGTCCCGTATGCTTTAGAGCGGAAACTCGTCAAGTCGTTAATCGAAAATTTTTTATGTGTAAAAACTCGTGCAACCTGGAATGATGCATGCGGCGGCAGGTTGAAGGAGATGATCGCGTATTTGTTGCGTCTCGATGCTTTGGAGTTGGATTTTGAGTGTATTTTTAAAAATCACCTCAGGCTGTCAATAAAATACTCAGAGCGAGAGGTAAACCATTTGATTAACATTCATATACATGCAGTGTTAAAATATCCGATTTAAAAAATGGGCGAGTCTCTTTTGAGATGAACGTCTTACGTCTGCTCTGAATACGACAAACCTTTCAATTGCTATATTGGATGGTATTTCTGTGTGTCATGGAAGAAGAAGAAAATTATCACGTCCTAAAATTTGAAGAAATTCGTTTGATCATGGTGTTCATACTACAGTATTGCAAATTTTATACAGACGAACTATTGCACCAAGATTAGCAGGAACTTACCAACGTTTTCAAGAATCCAGTTGTCCCGAGGGATATTTCATTGTTAGAAAATCGCTTTTTTTTTTTTATCTGCATTGATGTGTACTGTAAGTAGTTGTTTGCATCAAGTTTAGCAGTTAAGGAAAGTGATAGAGACTTCCATATATATTTCCCTTTCGAAGAAGAAATTTCGAATTTGAAACTCAATTGAAAGGCTGTCGCTCATCCTGATTCCTGAATGAAAGAATATTCTCCTTCTGAAAGTATCTGGTTGGGTTTTCCCCAGGAAGTACAGCAAGTAATCATCAAAAACCTGCCGAAACCGAGTCAGCTTCGAAGTATTAAGCTCTACGGCCTGACCTGCACGAATGCCATTTTGCGATGCATCGCATCTAATTGCAAAATGCTTGTGGAGCTCACCTGCAGCTCATCCGAATTCATGGACGATGAAGGACTAGCTTTTTTTGGCGATTTCCCGGACGGAAAGGGTTGCCCAGAATTGGAAATCGTCAAGTTTCATTTTTGCCCGCGGATCACGATTCCTGCAGTTGCCCGGTTGATAGGAAGACTGAAAAATCTGACCGTACTAAGTTACGAGTATGGCTTCCGTGCTGTTGCGGAGTTTCTGAAGCTGCAAGAAACGGTCGTTGAAGCGGGAAGTTACGAAGGTAAGTGCTGAATAATCAAATTTAGCGATAGTGACAATTTGTCCCCTTGAACTTTGCAAACCTGATATCGTGACGATGTGCATGTGATTCGTCTCCTATGTTGTTGAGCTGATTTATGCCGGTGCATTATCACGAAATAAAGATGCGTTTTTTCCCTTTTTTCAATTAGGTGATACAGTATTATAAATTATGTTGCCCTACGGCCTTTTTAGATTTCCTGACAATTGAATTTTATGCGTTGGCTCACGGTTATAATTTCATTTTGAATATAAGTTCTGCGTCTAAATGTCCAACAAAATGTTCTCAGTTTTTGTAAGTCACGAGTTCTATAGTTCTCTTTTTCAACGTAATGCCCGGCGTGGAACTCATCTAAACTCACGAGAACATATACCTCAGAAAAAGTTTTGTGAAGAGGAACGAAACATCTTCAAACCGAATAACCGATGCTCGAATGCTCTCGGCTATATTATAGATGATGGCGCGAATGTCATACCGCCGACGTTGAATTTGACTTATTTGATGGAGAAGGCAAACTATTGCTACGACAGGGATTCATTTCGCAATAATGTCAACATGGCGAAAATTGCGAGAGCTTGTCCCCGACTCACTCATTTCAGAATTTTGTATATGGAAGAGAAAGAAAATATTATTTTTTCGGACATCGAGCTGTTCAAGAAACTCAGTTCGATCAGCATAAACGCAATAACGCGAGGAGGTGGTGGCTCGTGTTTTCAAGCTTACATCTCATCGTTCGGCGACAGTTTGAGAGAGCTGAACTTGTCGTGCAAAGATTTTCCTGTTGATGCGGTGTTGAGCTTGGGGACATATTGTCAAAATCTGGAAAAACTCAGGATTATTCGGCAGCTTCCTTCTGGATGTGAGGTTCGGGGATACCCGAAAATCAGCACTGGATTCAGGTCAGACTTCATCTTTAACGTTCTATCCCGAGCAAATAATTTGTTACAGGTATTGCTGCTGCGCATAACAGTTACGCATTAAAAAATGCGTTTGTTATGCACAACTGTTATGCCCAGCTTCTTCAGAAACGCCTTTCTTTTTTTCTGTGTTGCTGTACTGAAAGTTTTTTCTGAAATGCGTTCAGAATGCGTTTTTTAATGCATTCTGTAGTTACGCCTATACTTGGAACATTTTTGATGAGATTTTCTTGAGTGTAGCAGGCAGGCGTTTCAAAACGCCTGCCTGCTACACTCAAGAATTTATTTCTTTTTCAGATTTTCCTGGGTGTAACATGGAGCGTTTTAAAACTCTCTGTGTTACAACCAGGGGAAATCTGAAATAAACAATTATAGCATTGTAACAGACAGGCGTTTTAAAAGGGTAGGGTTGAGGGTACTCAACCCTACCACCAGTATTATACTGGCAATAGAGAACATTTATCTGGGTTCTCTATCGCCAGTATAATACTGGCGGTAGGGTTGAGTACCCTACCGCCAGTATTATACTGGTGATAGAGAACCCCGCGTACCGCAGGGTTCTCTACCCTACCGCCAATATTATACTGGCAATAGAGAGAACCCCGCATACTGCAGGGATCTCTACCCTACCGCCAGTATTATACTGGAGGTAGGGTAGAGTTCCCTGAGGTACGCAGGGTTCTCTACCCTACTGCAGCGCAAATCTGGACCCCTGGATCCGCGCTGTGACAAACTGGTACGACAAACTGATGCAACAAACACAATGTTGCAGATTTTTATGTTTGTTGCATCAGTTTGTCGCAATTCGAAAAAACTACAAAATATAAATTTTGAAGTTAAAAATACTGTTAAAAATAAAGAATAATTTTTAAAGAGGAGTGTTTGTCTGAAGTTCAAATCCCAAGAGGGGCAGTTTATTATTCATTTATTTCCCTGTCAGTGTGAGTGTGTGTGTATAGTGTGTGCATTCTGCATAATGAGCCCAGTCTGTCTTCGTGAGAATATTTTTTGTGGTTTTCTTTGTAACAATTTCCTGTTGAAAAATGCGTATCATACGCATTTCTGCATTATTATCAATCCTATCAAGGTGTAACTTGAGTCACGCCTGGATAAATACCTAGCTGTAACTAGAGGGCGTTTCAAAATGCCTATAAGGTATGCATTAACTAAAATCCCAAGTAGGCGTAACATAGAGAGGTTTGAAATGAATAGCATTTTTGGCTAGAAATGCGTATAAAACGCATTTTAAAATGCCCAAATTATTTGCTGGGTCTGTATAGTGGCCTAAGCCGGGAAATATTTGGATTACCCAAGGGAGGTCAATTGAAAAGTTCAGTTGAAAATATTTGCTAGTGTATCGTTTACATGTCGAAGTAACTGCTGAGCAAGTGTTACCAGAAAAAATCTATGCATTGCTGCTGAAGGGTTATTAATGGGCTTCGACTGCACTGAGGTGTAGTTGATAATATTGTATCATTTATTGGTGGGCTGCAGGAGTCTGAGGTTCCTGATGCTTGGGATCCGGTTTAGCGGTGGAGAGATTCCTGAAGGAGAAGTCTCGTATTTATTGAGGAGCGCCGTCAAGTTAGAAGAGCTGCATTTAAGTGGAGGGCTGAGCTTCATGACTGACGCATACTGGAACGAATTCCTGAGGAGCGTGAATCCCTTGGTTCGGTTGAGGGTTTTGAATTTCGATTCGTACTTGATTCAGCAATCGATTCGTTTAGGAATTAGCACAGCTCGGCTGTTCATTGATTCATGCCCGCTTCTGAGCGAAATGTACTTGGGGTCGTGGACGAATATCTCGGCTTGCGAGATAAAACGTCTCAAGGATGAGGTGGCTGCGAATAATTATGAGCTTCTCGTAACATCATGGCACAATGAGGAGATTTTTCGTGAAAAGTTATATGAAAGTTGAATTTTCAAGACTCATGGGGATGATGAAGGGCTTGCTTCATTGCTGGCGCTAGAAGTTTTTCGTCCTGACTGTTTTTAAAATTATGAATCCTGATTAGTCTCAATGAGACATCTTTTAAATTCGTTTCTTTTCGATTCTTCTGTTGATTAAAATGTTCACGTGATGCGAAACTTGGTCTCCATATTTCTATTGAAGTATTTTCCATTGCGAAACCACGGATTTTCGGACAGATTTTTAGAGCTGCAGATTTTTGGCTTTAAAAATTCAGCAATTCGAGACGGAAAATGCACCGATTTCGAGGATTTTACACCCGCGGGTACGTTAAAAAGAAACTGTGAATTTTCTCTCTGACGGAGTTTAAGGATAACCTTTGTAATGAAGTTTCCCTTTGCATTTGTTCTATACATGCTATTGAAGTTCTTTATGCCCCAAACAGAGAATTGGTTGGTTAATTAAGGGGACCAGCAAACAATACGCGGGCATTTTTACATTATTTGGACAATTTAACATTCATGTATACACAGATTGACAGTTCAAATGTACTAAACTGACTCATCATCATAATAGATTCAAGACGATGTAGATTCGATGTATTGTTGCTCAGAGTTCCGAAAAGAATACAGTAATTCCTTCATTATTATACATGTGAGAGCCACTACATTTTGAAGAAATCGTGGAAAAATTATGCCCAACATCATTTCGATTTGTTCCTAATTAGGCCTGCATGAGTATTCTCATTCTTGGTAAGTTGGTAGGGTGAAAAGTTGTAAACAAAATTATTCAAGCTAGGAAGTTGTACGTGGCGTTATATTTCTGACTACAGTACATCTTGGTGAATCGAATCGGATGTAGAATGGAAGGTCCCTACGTTAGCTTGCAAACATCCGGCACCTGAATTACGAATCTTTGATGCAGATGTCGCTGTCAACAGCGAGTTAACCGCCGACGACTGCGACGAGGGAAGCACTGTGTGTCTACGACTGGATGATGCCGCTGCTGCTGGCCTCATCCAAAGACAATAAACTACATTTCATTGAAAATATCTGGCACAGTACTGATTTTGGGATTGCTGAAAAATACATGTTGTATAGTATCACATTAGGTAAAAACAACTTCCGACAATAATAAGGCTGCAATGTTGTGCGGTAGAGGTATTCCGCTTGCAGCAGATGATATTCAAACTTTGTGATGCTTAAAGATTGTATTGTAGATTTCCTCATTCAAAATAGTCACCGCAGGCGAATACAGCATTACTGTATAGAGGGAAATGTTCGTGTTTGATGACGCTTCGATCGCCAGCACGTAGCCCGTTGATCGCAAAGGAACACAGTCAGAATAAGAGCATGCATTTGGCGAAAACATGTAGAAATTTGCATCTTGCATTAATAATAAAAGAAAAAACAATGATGTTACTCATTTTTGTTTTTACATAAATGTCAAAAGGTATGTGAAGGACAAAGCGGTATATTGATTGGTTGATATACAAGCTTTATTTCCAGCATTCACAAGGTTCAAACCAACAAATGAAAGAATAAGCATGCGTAAGCCACATTAAAGCAAAAGGAAATTTAAGGAAATTTAACCTATGCAGCAAAAGGAAATTTTAACAAACTATTTTCCTTTCATCTGGTTTATTTTTATTTGTTCATTTTTTGCTGCAGCTTGCTGTAGAAGATATTGTAGTTTAAAAAAATTGTTCACATCTGTTGGCCCACCCTGTATATACTGCTACAATCTCACTATACTCATATTCATGTGATGGAATGGTTTTTGAATCTGACTTTTGTGTGCTATAGCTAACATAGAGTGGATGAAATTCATAAATTTGATGAGTGATTTCAAGAAAAAGTTTCATAAGGAGAAGTTGCCACGTTCTTCATAATGAATGATTTCATTGAGTGGATAATACATGGAAAATGTATGATGAGTATACAGTGAGGTAGAGTGAACTATTGAGATTATTTACAGTATGAAAGTATATTTTCACAATTTGCTCAATCTCAATGAAAACAGTTTCACCAGCATACTGATTGTCATTTGGGCCGGAAAACTGCAGAACATTTTAACACACTATATTCTGAGAATTTTCTCCAACCAACGTTTGATAGCTGAATCAGTGTTGATAAATTATTGCAGGAACTGTACAGAAAAGCGTCAAGTTTGGTACTAGCAGCTTTTATAATAGCCAAGAAAAGCATATATTTTGCTGAAATTTTGCACTGGGATATCTGAAAGACGATTTCAAAGAATGTATGTTCCATGATGAGTTATTTCAGTCTAGTCCAAAATACTAATCTTCATTAGGTGGCTCACAATGGGAAATGACACTACTTATTTTTTTTTGCAAGTTTCCCTCCTCTCACTCTGTTTCGGATGACAAAATTGAGATCGTGAAAATCATTTTCACCACCATTCATGGTTCGTGCTGCGGAATGTCGGAAAAAGAACCCGTCTGAATGTACCGGGGATACAAGTGTGACTCCTACACCGGCAGCTAACAGACCCCGTCGCTCACGCCCGAAATCCAGCAATCCAACCAGCCGCCAAGTCAGTGTAACTCTCGCTCCCGTCGCGTGCGGGTTGCAACTGGATTGTCATGTGATTGAAATGATGTGTGGTTGACGTATTGATGATTCACTACAGTAAAACTACGTTTACCATTGCAGTGGTTCCGGTGTTTCTGCCCAACAAACAGCCTATAAGAAAATAAACAAATCGAAATCCACGTACAGTATGCTGGAATTTATCGGCGAGGAGAAAATGACTGCTTTTCAGCCATGTTATTCTGAGTTTAAGCTTCCAAGATTTGTTTCTCTGCGAGACGAACAGCGCGTGGAAGGAATATTAAAAGCACATTTTTCCGATTTTCATCACTGTGCGCACTTCGTGATTTAAAAACAGTGCAGAATTGAAAATAACCGCGATTGATTCACTTTCGTAATTACCACGTTCTAAGAACAGGCTACTGAGAAATACGCGGGATTCCAGTGTTCATGAAGGATATTTGACGAGTCTGGAACATATTTCCTATTTTTCAATTAGAACTTGGGGAAAATCACGTCCCAATGAAACTCTTCTTTCATGAAACAAATTTTTTATTCTTGTGTACGCATTCGCAATGGGAAGAACGTCTGGAAACTTCGTAAGTACAGTACAGTACTATATGATGGAAATTTGGAAAGCAAAGGACAATGAAAAACCGTGCATATATTTTATCTAGAAATTTTCCGTAATTCTCAACATATTTCGGATAAGTTCCGTAAAATGTTCAAATTTAAGTAATCGACGAGGAAATATTGTTTGAAAATCCCTCCATGTAGACACAATTGACGGACCAAATACAGCATCAGAAAATTGTGTCATACAAAAACTTGATAATATTTCGGTGGACTCCATGATTATTTAACCTTATAATGATTATTTACGACGCTTGTCGATTCTTCTATTGCAAAATTTCAGCAAAGATTTTCTTCGCTTTCAAGTGGATACAGATTTTTTTCTCACACATGTTACAGATAATTTGTCGGAAAGTAACAAATTATGAGCATTTGTTTCTGGTGGCATCGACAATATGGTATTTTTTCACTTTATTTAAATAACGACGAAAGTTATTGAATTTAAACCTACGGAATTTTACGCTGGGCTTTTTTATCTGGCTATTTTATTCCAACATACTCCGCATTCTAAGGTTGACGGTTAATATTCGAATAGAAGAAAAAGAAGATTACTTGTTCTTGTACGATGTGGTATTAATCCAAATTTTCTTTGATTAAGTTCTGAAATTTCTAATTCTGCTTATTTTGGCTCGGACTTTGATTAACTGAACCCACGCTCAATTTTTCAAACCTCTACCTACGAGAAAACTGCTGCACGAGTATTTTATTTTTTTGGGATTAAGTTTCAAAATTTTTTGTCATTGGAAGAAATCTGTGATAACCTGTGAGAAGTACTAACCCTAAAAGATGTTCAGTATTTATGCTGGATTTGTTACTGTATCTTGTGTGTCCGTTGCTCACAAATGTGAACAGCTCCATTCCTACAGTCACAAATAAATCATACAGAATCGAATTCCAATCACGGATTTAAAAATGAATTGAAGCTGCGGCTTTTGGTCTTCCGTTTCTATAAGTAAACTCTAACTTATTGGCAAATTAACTTTGGAATTTTCTTTTCAGAACTGCTTCGGTGGTTTCGTTCGGGAATTCAAGAGAAGTATCCTTCAGAGTTTGAGGTAATCACTCGCAATTGAGCGCTTTTAATTTGAATAGAGAAAATATGCAATCTAATTTTTCTGATGAGTTTGAATGTTGCGATTGTTGCTTAGTATGTACTATACATTAGAGTGTTTTTCAATGAATCGTCTGGTTAAGGTATGAATTGGAAGGTGTGCTCAAGTTTCATGAAATGTTGAACGAATTTTTGTTGAGCTTTTATTTTCGTTAGACAAGAAACTTTTATCCAAGGTTGCCGTTTTTAAATTTGTTGGATGACCTTATTTGAGTAGCGCTTCTAAAAATAAACACAGTGAGGCCCCCACATGCGGACACCTTGACCTACAGGCAATTCAACATAGGGACACTTGTTTTCCCATAAAAATTAATAAAAAAGGCCCAACATGAGGACACTGAATCAACATAGGGACATTTTGTGAAAAGAATTGCAAATACATTTCAGTCCAAATTACAAGAAACAGATATTTACAGCCCTAAAATTGATGTAAGAAAAGTTCTTGGGCATTTCTATCATCAATTAAACATCCATTTAGCTAATTAAAAAGAATTACCTACAGCATAGAGGGACTTCCTTCTCTCTTTTTCACTTGAATGTTATTTTTAAAATTAAACATCCATTTAGCTAATTAAAAAGAATTACCTACAGCATAGAGGGACTGCCTTCTCTCTTTTTCACTTGAATGTTATTTTTACAGAGAATGCCAACATTACTATGTATTTTATGGATGTATCAGTATTCAATTCCCGAATGTCCATATTGTGTTGAAATAAACTGATTGAATCAGTTTAAATTGGGAGACAATTTTTATTTTCATGGCATTATGGTGAGTATTTTGTACATAAAATACCAATTAAAAATTATATAATGTCTAAGGGAAAATGAGACTTGACTTAGGGACATTTTTACTTAGGGACACTTCTGATGCACCAATTATGTCTGCATCTCAGGGTCTCACTGTACTGCATTAATGCAATTGCAGCCAAATTTAGGTAAAAGGATTATTTTGATACTGTGGGAGCACGGTATTTAAGGTCTTTCAAAAATAATTCGTATGATTCAGGCTAAAAACAAGAGGGGATTTTATAAAATGCCTTCATTTATTGAATTACTGACACACAGGTGTGTTTGAGTTGATTATGAACCTCATTTTTGGTTTCATGTTCAGTTGAATACAAGTTTCCATCAACTATTTTTCCTGAGCTTCCACGGAGCCCTTGTGATGTTCTCGGTGCTCCGCGGAGCACATATCAAGTTGATCTTCTGATGTGGAACGAAGCGATGAATGAAGAATCATCATTCTTGTATATATCAAAGGTGGGTTTAAATAAGAAATAACTAATATTCAGCCATATTTTGTTGGCAATTTCAAACTAAAATATTTCTTCGTGGGGTAAAGTCGTAACCATCCTTCCTGTCCCTCATTCTTATGCCGTCATGTCTGCTGTTGATCCCAAACCCCCCCAGGGGAGGGGTTCTGTTGTGTTTTGTCGATGACACTGGGTTCTTCCGTTCCCGGGTTCTGACCCTTGCGTAATGCAACCCACGGCGGGACTTTTTCCAGGATGAATGGGTCGCGAACTTGCACGTTATTTGGCATTGGGGCTGACTGAAGAGAGAGATTTATTTTTGGAGATTTCCGGATGAGGTATTGTGGAATCAGATAATGATCATCAATAAAATTCACCGGTGAATTTGAAGGCCATCAGTTTTGTTGTTGTTGCTCGTTTCGTAGAAGTTTTTTTTTTTCAAACATCATTAGATTCGTTGTGCCACTATTTTTGAAAAAGCCTTCGTTTAGGATGATTTTTGCCGCGTTATGTTGGCAAATTCTCGTGTGATTTGAGTGATACTCGACATTTTTCATATTGCGGGAAGTGATTGTTCTTACTAAAATTGAGTCTTCATACGTCTGAAACCTCCTTTTCGTAATTTCCAGTTAATTTCTGGTAAAGTACCTCAAGTCCAATTTAATTTAAAGTTGCCAAACCTGCAAATGTTCCAGTCAAACCCCCCGTAGTAAAATTTACAAGGTTTTTCTGTCATTAAATTGGGGCTAAATTTTGGGATATACGTCCAGAAAAAGAATACAAATTATTTTCTTTCTGCGCTCCACAAAAATTACGGTTTATTCATGCAGTTAAAAATCTATGGACAATTAAATTTTTGAATATTATCGCCAGAGAATAATATCCATTTCTTAACTAACCCAAATGAATTCGATTTCTCTATGATAAAAAGAAAACTGTCAAAGTCAAAATGTATTCTTTTCAAATTTCCCTTGAAGAGGTTCAACTGTACAGTAAATCAATTGCAAATGGCTACAGTGGATGAGAATAATTAAAAATAGGATACAAAGACGTTCAAAAAGAATCTTGAAGAAAATCTCACCATCATCGAGAGAAATTACACGCGTAAAAGACTCGAATTCAAGTGTGACCAAATTTTATTTGAAATTCCGGAAAACTTTTCAATTGGTTGCAATCTCCTTCCTTTCTCTCGAGTCGGAAAAAATTTGAACCATCGTATTAAAAAATAAGTTATATAACAAAATCAGTATAATAAAAACGAATAAGTGCTTTGCTCATCGAAACTGTTCTTTCCTCGGTCAACATTTTTGAAGGACTCGATAATTTGAAACCGTCAAAGTTTCAAAAGAAATCGGGTACCCACAAAAGTTCAAAAACCTAGACCACGTAAAAAAAACATTTCTTGCATTTTTTTTGACAAATTAGGATTTGTTTCTTCAATTTGTTCACTTTCAGATGACACAAAATAATCGAAATACGTATCGGGGGAAGTGTATGGAAATAAATACTGGATGGTAATTTTCTCTATGTGAATTTTTTGTTGTTAAGAATGCGAATTATTTTCTATTCTGGGAGCTGATGGGTACCATAAACACAGTACAGTACATTTTAACATTTCAACTGACCCTCATTTCCAAGTCAAATCGAATACAGTACCTTGTCAGGGAACCTTTTCCAGGAAGTGCTTGAGAATCGAATCACGAATAACATCAGCACTGCAATGAAAAATGGAACCGGTCTCGTCTATATAAATATAAATATATAATCTCTTTCAGGTAATGAATATGTGCATATTCATTCCAAGAGTAGCTTTTCTGACCACTTGGCGTCGAGGAAAAAATCTCGACGTCGTCCAGGGTTGCTAGAATTGAAACCGGTTTTGTGACAAAACCAATTATCCATCCAGGTGACGGCATCTGCGGGTTTTGCAGCCGGGTTCGATATATCCCCCGGGTTGCCTGACACGTGCACGGATGCGGGGCTCATTTCGCGAGGGACTTCTCAGAAGTTCTTTGTGTTTCTAAAAAAAGTGATCATACAGTGAAACCCTGAAATGCGGATGCAATTGGTGTTTGGGCCTTGTCAATATGTTGGTTCACACTTTATCCAAGACTTCAATGAAAACATATTCAGCATTTCACAAAAAAATTAGGAATGAATTCCCAAAGAAATAAATACAATGCATTTCTCAACTTGACCCTTGTGTGGCAAAGTTAGGATATTATTGCAAAATTTTGTGCCAATCAGACCTGGAGATATAAAAATCCTAATTTTGTAACAAGGCCTCTAAGTCAGGAAAAAGTCAGATATATTTTTTCTAATCCTGCAGA